AGTTCCCAATTTCCCTAATGTGTTACCCACCAGCCAGGCAGTAGACAACAGCAGTCCACTGTTCAGTTTTCCTCTTTCTCCTATTTCAGTGTTCTTGGAAGGCATGTGATGGCTATTTTTTTTTATTCATGCAGGTTACATATTTAAAATGAAACTATTTACCAGTTCTAGTTCATGTGGTCAATTTATTTACCTCTCAGTATTATTTGTATACAAAGATCCTAACATCTAAAGAAGTAATTTCCTTTTGAAAACTCAGCAAATCAAGCTTTACACAGTTTGAATTTGAAAAATATTTTTTTGATGAATAACAAAATCTGGTATCGCCACCAGGGGAAAATAGTTTTTTCTGTTTTCCAAATCTGGAAATGGGTGCTTTAGATATGATATTCAAATGCCTTTAGAAAACATCTCATTTTTGGTGGAAAAGAATTTGGTGTATCAAAATCTGTGTCAAATGCCAGTGTAAATATAAATTTTAGTATCTCAGGTAACTAGTAAACTGCTGAATGCAAGAGTCTGAGAACTACTGAGAGAACTACATTTTGTGCCTAACCATGCCCACATTGGCCTACTTCTAAGGAGTTCTTGATATTCATTAGGTTTCTCATCAGTGTGAATTTGCTCATGCTGAACAATATGTCAGGCACAAATACAGGCCCTCCCATCTTTTTACAATCAAAAGTTTTCTCACCAGTTTGAAATATCTGATATATAATCAATTGGCAGCCACTACAAAAATTCTTCATAGATCCTTCACATTCATAAAGTACCTTTCTGTTATGTTATGAATTCTATGGAGTAGGGTAAAAGGTACACTTCGCCATAGCTGACTGCCTCATACCTGAGATCAGAATGTGTGTCATGGCTTTTACATTTGCAAAAGCTGATCACTCCTTCTTTGGGCTTCCTCTGTTGGGAAAAGAACAAAGGCAATCTAGAGATTGTAAAATGGGAAAATCACATAAAAATAGAGGGGCTTTCCCTTACACACTTGACTTATTCATTTGGAAACAAACTTCTGTATTCTCATTCTTTTTCTCTGGTCTGTCTGTGGCTAGCGCTTCTTCATCTTTCTAAACTCTACATGCTGTTGCAGGACTCAGCCTTAGACGTCTCTCTTTGACCTAAACACATTTCTCTGTTGATTTCATTAAATCTTGTGGCTCTGAACACCATCTTTTGCTATAGGCCTGAAAATTATATCTCCAGTCTGTACCTCTCCCTTCATTTTCCAGAGCCATACATTTCCACCTGGATGTCTATTAAGAAAGACCATAAACTTAACAAGATCAAAATTAGCTTCTGGTCAATCCCACTTATAAACTTGCTTCTCCCATAATCTGTCCCATTAAAAAAAATGAAAACTTACCTCAAGACAAATGCTGGGCATAGAAGCCACAGGGCATAAATCTGCAAAGAAGTAAAAAGCTAACCTTTTCAAATAATACGGCTTCTCTCTCACTTACCAACTTTACAT